AGTTCCACCTTGAGTTGTGGGTGTAAGTGTGTGTGTGGAGCCCCGGGGAGAGCTGAAGAGCTAAGGCAGCACTTCTGTCAAAGCCATCATCTGACTTATCTGACCGCTCTGGGCTGTGTGTGTGCACCTTATGGGTGTGTAGGTACAGTAAGTGTGTGTGCGATTGATAAAACAGTCCTCCTGCTCTCTAGTTAAAAATGGACATGGAATGGATGGAAATGGAAAATTGCAAGTACCACTGAGGGAAACGGAGGTGAAGCCAGCGAGAATATATGATATATCAGTATGAATCAACCTCAAAAGGAAATGAATGACTTTTAATAAAAGAATAATTCAGCTGTGTGTTGAAGAAGAAAACACAAGATAATAAGGATTGAGAACAAAAAGACATTTGTAAAGAAAGATTAAAGGAAAAGAAGTTAGAAAAAGAAGAAACATGAAGCCCGAAGTCAGATAATTACAGCATTCAAAGACGCTTCAAGCACAAAATAAAAAAGATAAGCGAAGAAGAACTGTCGTGGATTAGATCTGAAAACGAGAAAAAATAGAAAAGACCCGACAAACAGGATGAGAAAGTAACAAACTAGGGTAAGGAAAGTGAAACTGTTAAACCTAACATTTTTTTAAAAACTCCAATTAAGACATCGTGCACACTTTTTACAGATAAGAGTGAAATCCTTGCATCATGGTTGCTGTCAGTGGTTCCTCCCAGCACTGGGATGCATCATATTCCACCACAGGACGACCGCTTTGCTCTTAATTAGCTCAAGAAGTCTTTGTGCTGAGGAAGGTCAGACATTTCAGCGTGACGATGCTTTCTTTTATGTCTTAAAAAACCCAGAAATATTGTGAAATGAGAAATGCCCAGATAATAAGTAATGTTTTTCTGCTGGGCCCGTGGAGTTTTCAGAAAGTTTGAGTGTTTAATTAGAGGAGGAGGCCCACCCATAAATCCTTTTAATGGGTTCTAACCCTGTGGAGATTTCAGAAGATGGAAGGTCTGCTTGGTGAATTTCTACAGTGTGTGTCTGAGAAAGCCAGCAGAGCTGTAACTATTAATTATTATTCTCCACTTGTAAGCAGTTTTATTTTGAAAATCTTAAGATCAGATTTTTTCGCGTGAAGATTGTTAAGTGATTACGGATATATGACATTATTACAATAAGAGTACAGAACACAGAAGGCATCAGTGACAACACACAGGTGGGTTGCAAAGTGGCTTGCAGAGGAGCATGTAGGCCTCAGTCACACAGGCCTGAACATGTATTCCTCGATCGGTTGGTGAGTGGTTTCTGGGTGAAATTAGTTGTAAAGACGGCGCTCCACCAAAAAACTGATTGCGATTTGTTTGGACTGCTGTGGTTGCCTGTAGCTTTCATGGAAGACGTGTAAGCTCCATGCTAACCTCGCATGTTTCTAAAGGGAAACTCAGAAGGAGCACTTCTGAGAGCATGTGTGTACATGGGGTATATCTTATTTTACTAGGTTTGAATTTGGATTTTGCTAGCGCCTAGCGAGTAGTTGGCGTCTCCTATGCAAACTATGATCGACCACGACAATCTCGTACCAACCAAAGCAACTTCCTGCCATCACTTTCCAACTGGATGAGGAATCTCAGTTTTTCCCTTATCAACCGGTAGCTCCCGCCGGTCTCCACACCTGTGTGTCTGGGGTTTAAAGCAGCTTACATAATGCTCAGGTTAATCCGACCAGATTCAAGATTTATTCAAAATTCTGTCTAAAAATGAGCATTTGTTCTGTGATTTAGAGATTTGTGTGTCTGCAGAACCAAATGTCCTCTACAGATTGTGCCTCTTAGTTTAGAGGAAGGCATTATGGGTTGTTTGTAGCTAAATGGGCTAGCGAGGTTATTCTCACATGATGTGAAATTTGCTTTGTCTCACTGAGGAAATGTCAGAATTTTTTTTATTTTTTTGTGGCAAAAGACAAAATCTTTGTCAAGCAGCCAAGAAATACAGTGAGAGGACATCGTGGTGAGAAACTTTAAGAGACGGGCTCATGTTAGAATTAAAGCAACACAGTTCATCAAATTGATTTGTTCCAAAAATCACACATTTTATCCCCTTCAGTCTCCAAAGTACGTGGGTACTCACTTTCTGATCCCAGTGCCAGGTCCTGCCTTGTTCCATGAGCGCCATGCACAGTGGAGCTGCTGCTGGCTCTGTGCAGGGTCCAGCTCACACCTGACTGGGGATCAGCTGACCACCCGCACAGGCTCTGCTCAAAGCCACACACGGCCGACAGGGGCGGAGTGGTGGCTGTGAATCGAGAAAGAAAAACAGATTACAAATAAAGGTTTTAAAAGTGTCTGTTTGGAGTAAAATACTACTGATTACCACCCGAGAGCTTCTTCTGAGTGCTTTTGGTATTATGTTGGATTTAAACAAACAAAAAATCTTTTGTGAGACTCAGTCCTGTAATGGCAGGGTCTTTATTTTGATAGTGCTGTGAGCGACATTCGCATTGTGTTGAGATGTTTTGCAATAGCGCTCAATGCAATATGACATCTTGAAAATCATACTGAATACAAATATTAGAGTAAAGGAGAATAAAAGCCAGACTGAAAGAAAGAGTAATTGCAGCAGACTGCAGAAATAACAGAAAGCAAACACAGACAGAAAATGGACAGAAAGAAAACAGCGGAGCAAAAGGTGAATGATACAAAACTCAAGGGGTGACATGAAAGTAATAAGATGAGCCCAAATGAGAAGGAAAAATGATGCTGTAATTAGACTGCAATAAGCTGCTACCTTCAGTTGTGCTGAAACAAAAAAGCAAAGGCACTTCCTTAAACTACATCATAATACGCTCTGCATAAACTCCAGTGAGGCAGTCGGTGACCTATAGCTGTGAAATCATATTCCCAATATGTGAGCCTGTGTTTGTATGAAGATCCTCTGGCTGTGCGAGCTTATTTTCACTCAAACAGAGCTTCCTGTGGGACTATTGAATCTAACAGACTTCAAAGCCCAGAGGCCCCACGGTGCACACTGACATCATGAGTTTGACCTTAAGAGCTCGAGTGTGTGCACAAGTGTGTGTGTGTGCGGATGAGAGACGAGCAGAAATAAATGCATGCGTGCATGCAAGAAATCTGCATATGTGAGAGCGCAGATAGCATGCACTTGAATGAAGAAAGCTTGAGCATGTGTGTGTGTGTTACAGCAAAATGTGAAATAGTCATGAAAAATAACCGGTTTGTTTGCATATGTTGACTTAAAACTTTTTTCCTGACAGTCAGCAGAACTTTGAAACTGACGTATTTCAGCAGGAACTTTAGCACGTGTGGCGCATATTCTGTCCAAAGTGAGGACACTTCACCCCGGAAACCAAGAAAACAGAGCTGAAAAGAAGTGGCGACCGCTGCATTTTAAGTCACAGCATGGTCTTTTTATAAACCGAGCTGTTTTGTGTGGGTACATCTTTTTTATTTGCTTTTAATGATACATTATGAATGTCTTTTAAAATAGACCCTCTACATCTTGCCCTATGACAGCAGGGATAGACTCCACCCACCCTGCGACCCTGAACCTGTGCCGATATGATGTGAACTCGGTCACACCACCAATGCCTCCAACATGGATTTTGTTAGGATGCCTGGGTCGTTGAGTTTTGAGTTTTGAGTTCATTATATTATTTATCATTTCTAGTCTTTGGTTTCTTGGTTAGAGTTCTGCCTTATGGTTTACGTCTCTGTTCCCTCTGTTGCAGTGCCTGCCTGTGAGTCTGTGTCTTTAAGTTCAGTCTGTTTTACTTTGAAGGTCCATGTCTTATGTTAATGTATCTGGTTTTGCTTCCCCTGTTTCTTTAGGCCTGATTTGCCCCAGCTGTGTTTCCCTCCTGTTACCCATTCCCTGATTGCTCCCTCTGTGTATTTAAGCCCTGTGTTTCTCTGTGTCTGTGTTGTGATCTACCCTCATCTTGCTGCGTGTTGTGGCTGCGTAAGCGTATTTTGTATTCTCAGTTTTGTTACCCTTTTGAGTTCAGCATTAAAGCTGTTTAAGTTCACGTTTGTCTCCGGAGTCCGCACTTTGGGTCCTTTTCCTGCCTGCACACAGCCGTTTCATAACAGATTTTTCATATGTGAAAAACATCAGTTTTGTGTGCCTGGCACAAATGAGTGGACGTGACACCAGACAGATGAAAACACGCTTTTAAGAAAATAAGAGGTGAGAAATTCACGTCGAGGAGGCGAAAAAGGTGAAAATTTGTGTCTAGAAACACAAACCAATAGATCAGGTTGCGACTGTTTCACAAACTGTGTGTGTGTGTGTGTGTGTGTGTGTTTACCAGATCTCATCACAGAGGTTGTCTGTTCCACTCTAGGTGTGGTGGGGGTCACAGTGTCAGGTACAGTGGTGGTTTCTATCAACACAAAAAATAAACACAAAGGGTTAGAATAGAATAGAATAGAATAGAATAGAATAGGCAATAGATAATTTGTTTTATTGTTTTCTCTCCAAGACAGTCAAATGCTTTGGGGTCCTTAGGGTCTAGTAAAGCGCTGTACAAATACAGGCCATAATAAGCAGAGACGACGCTGGGCTTGGAATAACTGATTTGAGCTCGTCTTGTTAAATATTCACAGTTTGTTCTGCGACTGCTTCGCTGCACAGTGGAAAAGAGTAATATTTTAACAGTGCAGCTGTGATGTTTGAGCAAAGCCAGGCTTTAGACACAGTGCTAACTGACGATGCTTTAATGCTCTTCGCCGTTTTCGGGGGCTGTCGTTTGTCGGGATCCAGGCAGGGACAGAGCGAGCTGATGCAGTGAGCTGGCACTCAGCTCAGGACTGTGCCACACCGCTCTGTTTATCCACTGCAAGCTGGCATGCACGCTCACACAATGCTATGATGATAGATGCTGCACTCACACTGACCTTGGAGCACAGCAGCGTGCATCGAGTGTATGATAGATCAAACACACAAACACACACTCACAGACCTGCAGAGCAAAGACGTCAGCATTCGGGTATGACAGTGTAACCCCGAAACCTTCTGGTCTTAATAAGCAGTTTTTCTACTGCTGGTTAAGATTCCTTAAATGGCAATGAATGCCTTCCCATCTCTCTCCCTCACACACACACACACACACACACACACACACACTGGTGAAAGTAAGTGTGTGTCTGCGTGTTGACGTAAGGGAACAGAAGATTGGCTTGCGTGGCACAAGCCAGACACCACAAACCTCTCACCAAATTATTCTCAGAAGCTACTTTTTTCTCCGTCTTCTGTCTTCTTTCTTCCCTCCCTTCATATTTCTTTCCTTCTTTCCATCTTCTGTGTCTCGTTTGTCACAATAAATCGGACCAGAATCGCCTCTGCTTTGCAAAACCACTATTGCCACCACAAAAAGCTCTAAACACACACACACATAAACACACATGCTCCCTCTCTCTCTCGACTCTCCTGCATAGAAGTGAAATCGTACCCAGTCTTGTTTCTGTTTTACCACAACCGCAATTTTCGTCTCCATAACTCTCTCCCTCGCTCTCTCTTTCTGTCGTCTCTCCCTGAGGTATATTTCGATTTCTCCTCGCCCCTTTGCAGCTCTTTCTTCGTCTCTTTGTTGAGATTGGGTCTCTTCCTGTTGCTCTTTCTCACTCTCCTCCACCTTTCAGCACTTTTCTCTGCGCTGTAACTCTGTCCACTGTTATTTGATGTAGATTCTAATCACCAGTTCACCAGTTGAATCTCAGACTGCTGCAGATTTGCTTCGAGTGTAATTGTTGTAGATATTTCCATGACTCGCGCGGTGATCTTTCTCTGTGTGTGTGTCTTGTTTAGTGTTAACTGGTAACCTTTGCAAGCCTCTGCTAATAGCTTTGAGTGCACTGCAGTGTTGTGGGGTTCATCCACTCTAATGTGTGTGTGCGCGTAACTTTGAGTTGTTTACACAGTCCGCTCACAGTCAAAGTATGCACGATTATTATGTAAGCCCAAACACTCATGTTGCTCTTTCAGCACAGACACACATGCACGCTCAAAATTAGATATTAACATTTAATAAGCAGCTCCCAGCTGCTGACATTAAGCTGTTTTAATTTGGTGCCCTTTACCACTGTAATTAGCCCCCCATGTTGAGGGGAGAGAGGGAGGAATAGGAGACGAGAGGGAGACCCAGAAAAGGGAACATAACCCTTTCCACCTCGCACCACCAATTTCCTAATTAGTGACCACACACAGCTCCAGTCAGCCTCCTATTTCAATCTCCATCTCCTCTCCACCTGCCTAACTCAATTTGGCTCTCCTTTCCTCCCCTCTTCTTAACTCCTCCTACTCCTCATCCTCTTCTTCAATCCACCAGGTTCCTCTCTGGATCAACTGTAAAGATCAGAAATAATTTAAACAACTTAATTTAATAATATTTTTAAAAATGTTGTTGCAGGAACTTGAACTCTTACTTGCTGAATGGAAATAAATGACAGGACAAATACAAGGTGGCAGAGTTCAGTCACTCGTGGGAAGTTTGAAACAGACGTGCATGAGAAAAACCAATCCTGAGATTCTGCAGATGGGTCCACCAGAGCAGACTTACAGAAACCTGCAGAGACCCTCCGACTCGATCTTTTCCACACACAGACGCACACTTTCTAAACTGAAGAACAGAAGGTGTCACAGGCCCAAGGGCTCATTGTAAAGCTGCTGACTGAGCAAGGCAAAGCGGAAACACAGAGACGAAAACTGTTCAATTATGGAAAGAGCTCTGGGTATAAATCTACCTCTGTCAGCCTAAATAATGACTACTGACACTGTGTGTGTGTGTGTGTGTGTGTGTGTGTGTGTGTGTGTGTGTGTG